TTTTTTTTTTTTTTTTTTTTTTTTTTTTCACCGAAAAATTCATTTCGAAGAATCGAACGGTTACCCGATACCCGAAAATATAAACTTGCAAACGAGCAAAGATAAATCCTATATATTGTATTCGAGGTCGAAACAACGAAACGATACACGCGGATACATTTCACCGTGATATTTCGACGAAACCTGGCTCCCGCTTCGATTCATCTCTGATTAATGCCACCGTCCGACGATTTGGCGCCGATACTGATTGATTAATCGCACTGTCGGCCGTATATCGCCTCCACCACCGACTACCCGACATTGCCTCGCTTCTATTCTTAGACCGCCTACATTGACTTTCTGGGTTAAAGCGTGCTGGGTCCTATGACGTGAGAGTTACGGCCAACCAACCGACCGTTCTTCTTTCGAATCACGGATTTTTCCCCCCTCTCTTTTTCTCTTTCTCTCTCTCTCTCTCTCTCTCTCTCTCTCCTACTCGATCCCCGAAAATTTTCAAACCAATGTTCGTTCGTTGGCGGAAATTCGGCCACGAGATAAGTTTTCGGTTCACGAGACTACCTGCTCGCAATTAACCTTCCCTTTCGGATGAAATTAATTCGCTGGAGGGAAGGGAGAGGGTGGTTCCCGAATTTGGTGGAAAAATATTTCAGCGTAAATAATAGTGAATCTGCTGTAGAGAAGGGAGGAGAGGGACCGCCCACTCGAAGACGTTGGCGGCCAATATCTTAGAAAGTTTTACTCGACTCGACTCGACTCGACGCGTATCGTTAGCGCAAATATCTTTCGACACGAGGCGCACGTTTGTCGGAATAGCGGTTTCGTGGGTTTTGTTTTGTTGTGGAGATTAGGGTGGTTTTATCGGAACAATTCGAGTTTCTCCGAGTTTTTATCCGTCGAGGGGATTTTTCCAAGAAGAATTTTTAAAAGGGGACGAGTTTATATAAACGATATAATTATATATGGAACGATTCTTTTCGTATGAACGTTCGGAATTCTCTATAAATTTTCCATCCCTGTCGTTTTCACGAATTTTACGGGAAACGTAGCACACTGTAAAAAAGAATTGCATCAAAATCCACGGGTTCATTATATCGAGCCGCTCGGATTTTTCTGATTTCACAATTGTCATAGATTTTAACGAAACAATTCCGACAAGCCGAGCGGCATCGAATAATCTCGCACAGGTTGCTCTCTTTCACTTCTCGCTCCTCCATACCGCTCGTTTTTCCCCTGCAATTCTCCCTCTCCCTTTTTCCTTCGACGGCTTTTCATCGCTCAAGCCGACCGCAATCCCATCCTGTAATTCGTTTCTTTCACCATCTACTACACACCGCCACCAACAACACCGTCTTCCGTCACCGCTCGTTTCTCTCTTTTCTCTCTTTTCTCTCTTTTTCTTTCCCTCTCTCCACCTCGTACTACGTTTTTTTTTTCTTTTCTTTTTTCTTCAACCAAGGTAACGTCTTCTGCCCGTCGTTCAGAGTACAATGCGAGCGAGAAAGAGAGAAGAGGGGGAGACGCGAGAAAGCATTAGCGACCGCGCATCGAAAAATGCCCTCTTCCCTTTCACGCCGATCCCTCCCTCCCTCCCTCCTTCTTTTCTTCCGTGAACCGTTTCAACAAATTCTTCGTTATTATTTGCGCGATGGAGTCGCGTATCCCGCTCCATCCATTGTCGTTTACTCGTCAACGAGAAAAGGGAGGAGAGACGTCTTCTCGATCTTTACTGTGAAATCTGCATCGACAAATGCGTTTTTTCCTTTTTTTTTCTTCTTTTTACGTATTCTTCGTGCGTATCATCGAGAAGCCATTTCTTAGTACGATAATGTCACGTACGAAATTAAGGATAAATTTTAACTCGATTCGAAACTCATGGAAGTAAATCGTAGTTAATGTAATTTTAAATGATTAAAGTTATACGAAGTTATAATTGTAGCAGCTATAAATGTTAATCGATGTAATAATATTTTTCTCTTACGAGTACAAATAATATTTTAGTTTAGAGCAAATGGATAAAATCCATTTTCCTATTATTCGAGAATGTTAACCAATTCCAATTCATGAACTCTATCTAGAGTTTGCTCTATTATTTCCTTTTTCTCAATCATAATTTTAATCTACATATACATATACATATTTTCAACGACGAGATCGAAACAATCTATATTCTATATTTTCGCAAATGAAGAAATGAAAGTACATAATTTGAAAGAAATTTGGCCCGGAACGTTCCATAAATCGGCGGCAAGTTTTCCCAAGTATATCGTCCAATGTATAAAAGAATCCCGCACGAAACGTTTGTCCGCAATGTTGCACGTGTTGCGTTTCGTATCGCGGCAACGGATTCATTCATATATTCAATCGGCTGCGCAGATGTTCTTTGCCCCCTTTTTCCCTCCTCCTCCTCCTCCTCCTCCTCCTCCTCTGCGGGGATTCAGCTGCGGAGATTCAGCTCTCGCTCGCTCGATCGATTATTCATACTCGCGTGGCCGATAAAAACCAACAATTTTCGATGAGGAGTGGAGAGGATGCACGTCCCAAACCTGCAAACATCGCGTGTCCGCATTCGCCGATGCAACGCCGTTTATGTCGTATTTACGAACGCCTCCCGTGATATTTTTATTTCACGTTCCATGTTCGCCTACGTTCCTCGGGCTGAATAAATATTTCGTCAACTTGGATATTTCTAGCCGGATAATTCTTGTTTCTCTTCTTCTAAATATAACGTGAAACGTGAATTGTGGATGAGAGAGTGTGGGACGGGATAGGATTAAAAATTATTCGCTCTCGTGTCGTCACAGTATATGTCGATCGACGTATATTTGTACGTTTATTTTCAAATTGCTATTTGAAAATAATCCAGAAATTGTTATGCACGATCTTCCCCTTTGAGAGGGGAAATTGGAGACACACGGATGTAGATGGACAGTCGTT